CTGGTGATATGTTTATTCTAAGCGTCAAAATCAGCAAGCTACTTTATTATTTATTTTTATAAAATAAAAACTCATAATAGATAATATCTTTGAAAGAGGCAAAATAAAAATAATATTTTTTCTTTTTTGCCAATGACGCAGTAAAGAAGCACGTAACGAGGGAAAAGCCAACCTATAAATATAAACAATATCCATAAAACAGAAATAATTTCACTTTTCTTTCCACACACAAAAACTTACATACACAAGCCACGAAGCCTTTAAAGAGATGTTTTCTACCGCAAGATATAGTACCAAATCATAAGCTCATCTGTTTGTATCACCGCCTGTTGAGATGTGTAAAGAATTTGCAAGGTCTGTAGAAATTTCAGGTGTATTTTTTTTTTTAATCCACCCCCGCGGGTATTTTTTTCCATTATTTTCCTGTGTGAGTGGAATGGAGGGAAGGAGAGAGAGAGAGAGAGAGGGAGGGAGGGAGGGAGGGAGGGAGGGAGAGAGAGAGAGAGAGAGAGAGAGAGAGAGAGAGAGAGAGAGAGAGAGAGAGAAAGAAATATTAAAGTGAGAGACATATGGATTGGTTACCTCCTGTATGCCCCCCAACAGGGGCTTGGGATCAAACCTGAAACCAAGGTACATAACCTTGACCAGGAATGGAACCTACTACCCTTTAGTCTGTGGGCCAAAGCTCCAGGGCATCAGGTGTACTTTTAAGATGTTGCTACCAGAAGCCTGAAAATTTTATTCTGATAGAGGAAAGAAAAAAAAGTTGAAGGGCTTTTGTTTCCTCAAATGTGTGTTTTCTGATACCATTCATCTCAAACATTATGAGCAGCAAGCATCTAGTTGGATCTTGATGAACTTCAAACTGAAATTATTATGAGATGGGATCTGAAAACTTAAAAAAAATGAGTGAATGAGTTTGGTATCAGTATATTGACATATTTCATACTATTGTGCTCACTATGATGAAATATGAATCTCAGGCTTACCATAATGATTTACTCTATTTCTCTTTTCAGAGTATACAAAAGGGTAGGTTATTAAAAAGAATCACCCATATCTTTAAGATGAAATTTTATTGGGCCAGAGATTTCAAGGAAGATTGTATACATGACCAGCTTAAAGCAACAACTTACTAAGTCCATCTGGAAAGTTTTATACTTGGCCTGAATAAAAAATAACCTCATTCATTATTGCAATGAAGATCTCATAAAAATGTAAATTGTGGGAATAGAAGTATAATCTACAATCCTGATTTTTCAATACTGTAGTTTTCCATGTGTAAGGCAGAAACAGAATAATGTATCGAGAGTCCCAAATTACAAAAACATAGACAAACATGAAGGATATTTTGTAACCCTAGAGAGAAGTGTCTGTGTTCAAAGAAAACAGCATTAACAGCTTTAACAAAAAAGTGACATCTATATAGGGAAACATGCATGTAAAGCATACTTGGAAAAACTCTGGAGATTCATCAGATAACAAGGCAATAACTCTATTTCAAGAGAGCAAATTACAAATAACCCTGGTCTTCTTGCTGATGATATTGATGACAAGGTTGCCAAGACAATATGATAGAGGTTGCAAGATGAGATAATCCATGATTATCTATTACATAGTGTGCTGGAGGAGCATTATATGTGAATCTCTCCATTGCTGCTGTTTAAACCCCAGTGAAACTATGCACATTTTTTTATAAGTTAGCTCCAAACTATTAGTCTTTATCATGATTATTAAAGAGGTACTATTTATACTACATAAAAATTATATAAAGCTTGAGAAAGCTACATAATTTTGGTGTCACTTACTAGTGTAAAACAAAAAATATCTTCCATATAGTGTTTCACTAAATTAAGTCATTAACAAAGTATTCCTCTCATTTAAATAAAATCTCATTTTTCAAAATAAAAATAAACAATACAAAAAATTAAAATACAAAATCAAAACTGCTAATTCTTAGCACAAACTTACAATGTAAAATTGATTCTTTTATGACCTGGGCAAGATGGCTATGGATTAAATGTCAGAGCTACACTGACAACCCAATCAAAAAATGGGCAAAGGATCTAAATAGACACCTTTCAAAAGAGGACATTCAGGAAGCCAAGAGATATATGAAAACATGCTCAAAGTCACTAATCCTCTGAGAGATGCAAATCAAAACAACAACATTTTCCCAGGCCCAAACTGGAATTACAATGAAAACATAGAAAAATTATCCTGAATACTTAACTGGAGACTAGCTGGACAGAACCCTTATTACCAAGAACATTTGTGGATTTGTTGATGATAGCCATTCTGACAGGTGTGAGATGGTATCTCATTGTTGTTTTGATTTGCATCTCTCGGAGGATTAGTGACTTTGAGCATGTTTTCATATGTCTCTTGGCTTTCTGAATGTCCTCTTTTGAAAGGTGTCTATTTAGGTCCTTTGCCCATTTTTTGATTGGATTGTTTATCTTCCTTTTGTTAAGTTGCATGAGTTCCCTATAAATTTTGGAGATTAGGCCCTTATCAGATATGACGTTGGCAAATATGTTTTCCCACGCAGTGGGCTTTCTTGTTGTTTTGTTGATGGTTTCTTTTGCTGTGCAGAAGCTTTTTTATTTTGATGTAGTCCCATTTGTTCATTTTCTCTTTAGTTTCAAGTGCCCGAGGAGCTGTATCAGTGAAGAAATTGCTTCGGCATATGTCTGAGATTTTGTTGCCTTTGGATTCT